AAGTCACTTCCACTTATACTTGGATAAAATATTTAAGAAAAATGGACTGATGAGGACTTCTTGTCTGATCTGAGGTACTGGCTGCAGGTGTGTGAGTTTGATGAGATCTAAGGTTCCTGTTAGGAAGTGGATAATAGAGTAGGAGTGGGCAGGCCACTCCATTGGCCATTTGGCTGTGGCAAAGGGCAGGACCAGCCTGTCTACCTGGTCTTTGATACCAACTGGTTGTCCCCAGGTAGGAGAGATGTGTGAATCAGGAAACCCAAAGCATCCCAGAGACACCTTGGTGCTTGATTTGGTTTGACAGCTTGTAGGGATAAGAAGGAACCTAAAGGAGCACTGGGTTGGAAGAAGATATGGGGCATGTCAGGGATTCATTGAGTGCTTTACCTTTCCATCTTGCCTGCTTATTTATTGTAATGATGGTCCAAGAGCTGCTAAATATGGGACAAGTTCTCAGTTTTTTTTCTGTAGTAGTTTCAGACCACTTTGTAAGCTTCCTTTTCTTTCTCATTTGTTTGTGTGCCATCATTGCGCAGAAGGTAAAAGCTGGCTTGATTTTTAATATACTATTCCACTGCAAGATTTTATTGACTTTGTATTGAGCTGCTACACCTAGACAATAAGTGCCATACCATGGGAAGCAATAAAAAAAAAAAATCCATCTGCTTTTCCGTTCTGCTTCTGGAATTTACCCTCTAAAAGGTGGCTGTGCAGGCCCCGAAGACTGTGTTACTCTAAGCAGATCTGGAATAGGCTACTTATTGTTCTAGGCCACTGGTATTCCCCTTTCTCAGACATTGCCTGCAGAAATAACGAGCAGCTCCCTTTTCAAAACTGTCAACAGCTTGAGTTCCCCATTTAAAGGCTCTGGCACTGGGGCACCCTGAAGCCAGGCAATGTTAGCAGGAAAACAGAGTTAATGAAGAACAAGAAAAGCCTGTGGGAAGGGGAGAGGCCTGTTCTGCAGGGTGAAGTGCAGCAGTGATGTATAAGATCGAGATCCAGGGCTCTGCCAAGCTCCACGGGCAGCAAGATACTGATTTGTGCCTTTGACTATCAGAGATAGAGTCTCATGCCCACACTTCTTATTGTGCCATGGGGGCACATAAAAGCGCATATCTGTTGGTGCAACCCTTCCTTCCCTGTCTGGGACAACACTGGTGGTGGTGGGGGAAATCTGGTTATATAATTCCAATGGTTTGGGTTGGAAGGGACCTTAAAGATCATCTCGTTCCAAACCCCTCTGCATGTGCAGGGACACCTCTCACTAGACCAGGTTGGTCAAAACCCCATTCAATTTGGCCTTGAACACTTTCAGGTATGGGGCAGCCACAGCTTCTCTGGGCAACCTGTTCCAGGACCTACCCACCTTCCCAGGAAAGAATTTCTTTCTAATATCCAATCTAAACCTGCCCTCTTCTAGTTTAAATGGTTATTCCTTGTTCTGTCACAACAGGCCCTGTGTAAAAAGTCTCTCTCCACCTTTATAAACCCCCTCTAAGTGTTGAAAGGCCACAATAAATAGGATGCATTATGAAGATCATTACCAGCAGGTTGAAGGAGGTGATCCTGCCCCTCTGCTCAGCCCTGATGATACCACATCTGGATTACTGTGTCCAGTTCCAGGCTCCTCAGTATGAGAGCTCCTGGAGTGGGTCCAGCCAAGAGCTATAAAGATGATCAAAGGACTGGAGCATCTCTCTTATGAAGAAAGGCTGAGGGAACTGGGCCTGTTCAGTCTTGAGAAGAGACAACTGATAGGAGACCTCATCAATGTCTGTAAGTATCTGAAGGGAGGGTGTCAAGACAATGGAACCAGGCTCTCTTGGCCACAAGAAATAGATTGAGTCAATGGGCAGAAACTGATAAACAGGAAGTTCCTCCTGAATATGAGGAAGAATTTCTTTGCTGAGTGGGTGACTGAACACACATTGGAACAGGTTGACCAGAGAGGGTGTGGGATCTCCCTCACTGGAGATTTCCAAGAACCGTCTGGACACAATTCTGTGCCATGTCCTCTGGGATGACCCTGCCTGAGCAAGAAGGTTGGACCAGATGACCCACAGTGGTTCCTTCCAGCCTGACCCATCATGTGATTCTGTGAACAAGGTCACCCCAAGAGCCTTCTCTTCTGAACAGCCCTGACTCTCTCATCCTTCCCTCATAGCAGAGGTGCTACAGACATTTCACCCTTACTAAAAGGTGGCATCCCCTCCCAAGTCCTCATGACATCAGCTCCACAGGCTTTCCAACCACCAGCACCCAGGGGTGCCTCCCTAGAAAGCAAGATGCCTCCCCAAACTACCCAAATCAACTCTGGTGATACTGATGCTCTGCAGGAGGGATACGCTGTCCCCTCCACCCCCCAACCACCACCTCTGCAGCCTCCTAAATTTTTTCCAGCCTTTACTTCTGGTTAGTAATGCAGCTGCTGCTGAAAAAGAAGTGACAGGTTGTAGGCTGGAGGCGGGGGGGAGGAAGAGGTCAGAAATGCAGAAGGGGCGCGCAGCGCTGGACCCCCCCGCGTTCCCTGCAGCCACATCCCCGTCCCGCCCTTTGGCCGGAGCCGCCCCCGAGCGGCCGCCAGTGGATGGGGGCGGTGGGGGGGGAGTTGTCCCATCGCCCCCGCCCCCTTTGTGGCGGCCCGGCCCCTCTCGGGCGGGGGGGCGGACGGTAGAAAGGGCGGGCGGCGGGCGGGCCGCGGCAGAGCGCGGAGTGGCTGCGGGCACGGCTGGACCTCGCTGGGACACACCGTGCCGGCATGGCTCTGGATTTCCTAGCGGGATGTGTCGGCGGTGAGTAGCGGCGAGAGAGCTGCGGGGGGGGGGGGGGGGGGGGGGGGGGGGGGGGGGGGGGGGGGGGGGGGGGGGGGGGAGGAGGGAAGGAAAGAGGGAAAAGGGATGAAAAAGGAAAAGAAAGGAGAAGGGGGTGAAGAAAATAAGCGCAAAAGGAAAAGGGGAGTATGGTGCGAAAAATAAAAAGATGGCAAAGGGAGAAAAGGCGGAGAACGGGGAAAATAAGAATTCTTTTATTTAATGCGGAAGAAAGGGAGGCAGGTTGGAGGGGAGGGCTGGGCGCGGCGCTGTTATTTTGGGAGCGGAGGAGGGTACCGGTCGCGGGGGCGATGAGCGCGGCCGCCCCGCTGCAGGTGGGGCCGAGCACGGGCGGGGAAGGTCTTGGGGGACTCCCCTGTGGTTCCCCTGTGGCCGGGGGGGTGCGGGCCGTCCCCTCCGCGGCCGTGCCGCAGCACCGGCGTTTGCCCGAAGGAACTGGAAGGAGCGGGGGCGGGAATGGGGGCCAGGGGTGAGCGCAGGGGCAGCGGCCGGGGCGGGAGCCCTCCCTGACCTGCACACACGGACAGCGGGGAGCTTTAAGATGGAGAGGAGGAGAGAACGCGTACGGCGTGTTCTGCGCTTCCCGGTGCATCTGCTGCCGGCCTGCCGCCTGCTATTTTTAGCAGCTGTTAAATTGTGTTCAGGAGATTTATTCTCGCTTCTTTTCGGGTATTTGCGTTTTGCTGCTCTCCTTGCCAACCTGGCGAAGAGGTTTTTGTTTTCGAATTTCTTTTTTTAGCCTCTCTCTGACTTCATCCTAGTGATCCTTGCCTTCCCGGGGATCCCGCGGGGTCAGTTGTACCGCTGGCCTTTCCATGCCGAACAGAGTGCACAGCGCTGTTTTTCTGTGCTGGGCTATCTTGTCGCTGTGCAGGCCTTGAGCAACCTGGGCTGCACCATCCTGGGGTGGGCACAGTATTGGTGCCACATCTTCCTCGGGTGAGGGATGGCAGATATTTTTCTGCAAACATGGGAAGGCGCACTGAAGCTCTTGTAGTTCTCGCTGTTGTCAGCGGTCATTAAGGATTGCTGGGTCACAGAAATACAGAGCTAGAGGATTCATTGCTTCAGTCTGTGCAAAATGCCTGTATTCAGACTGGTGTAACTAATAGGCCTGTATGTGACTTCTGTAAAGTCCTTTAATGCTAAAATAAAGCAAAGGTTTTTGGTAACGCTTGGTCCTGCTGCAGGTGCTGCTATCACATCTGGAAAAGCTGAGAGCAGGAATGTTCTTCTGCCTTTAGAGAAGCTTACATGTTTTCTGTGCCTGCAAAGAGTGTCATGTACCTGAAACATTGTGCTTCAGAGGAAACCTGCATTTTCTGTCCACTGGACTTGCCTTGGGCTGAGGCCAGGAGTCACAGCTGCACATTCCTATGATGTGGCATGCTCCGTAGTCACACACCTCAACCCCTGCCTGAGGCTCAGAAGCTTGAAGAGAAGCATAAAGGCACCTAGTACTGGCCTGAAGGACTGAATTGTAGATTTCTTGTCTTCTGACTTGATTGGATATTCTTTACCTGGTCTGTCAACAACAATGCTGTGCACTCACAGCTCAGGCTGGTGGTCCTGCTTGTGTTACTGTAGCCCCAGACCGAGGAAGAAAACTGAGAGTAATAACCATGGCATTTGCTTTGTTTCAGGTGCTGCTGGAGTGCTGGTAGGACACCCCTTTGACACTGTTAAGGTGGGTTGATTATGAAATATCTTTGCCTTTAAGTAGAAAAATTAAAGTTTCTCCAAGGAACAGGGGAGGAAAAAAAATTCCTCAGACACTGTAGGAGCATAAATCTGTGTGGGAGAGCTTGGAACAAGCCTCCACAACCTGTTTAAAGATTTTTCAATCTATAGCTCCTCAGAAATGAAAACCCAGTAACATGAAGACCTTGGCCTAAACTGCAAGTTCATCAGTGCAGTAGCAATATTGTATTTGGAAATACAATCTTACATTTAACCAAATTTTGTTCTAAGCTTGCTTCTCTGCAGCTGTTCGACACTAACTACTAAAACTGCCTCTGCCTGCGTTTGTAACTCAAACCCATATTGTTATTAGGTTGAAAGATTGTATTTTATTTTCCCCTCAAGCTACTTACTCCTTAATTTGTAGCACTAGCCAAAGGGTGTAAGTGAATAAAAATCCAAGTATGAAGTATTATTTTTATAACTTTCCAAGGTCAAATTGACTTTCTAATGGTCTGTTAATTGTGTGTGTTATGCATACTTCAATTACTTCAAATAAGATTTGAGATGATCTGGAGGGTCCTCCAACTAGGGCTCCCAGGAGTCCAAACCCATCTTTCAGAATGGAATGACAATTTAAGTCACTATTTGGCAGCCTTGTCCAAAGTCCCGTGCTGGAAGAATAGAAGAAGGGATATCAATATATTCCCTGCTAAATTAATATACCCGATCACTTGACTGCAGCAGACAGCCTGCTGTGCACTAGACCTATATTTGGAATACCTTTACCCTGAATTTAGATATGCAAAGATTGTGGGCTGATGAAAGCCATCACCATGTTCTGAATCCTAGCACATGGTTAATTCAATACAGAATTCCCAAGCTAATGGTCATTAGTTCTCTTTGCAAGCTTGCAGTGGAAGTTGCTCAAATAGCAAAGTCTGTCTTTTTGTCAACCAGAATACGGTAAATTTGACTATTAAGTAATTCAGTTGAATTCTAGTATATATTTTCAGGAATGATATTATTCAGACTTGCACAGTTTTTCTTACAATGATACAGGGCCAACTGTCTTTTTCTCTCACCCCCAACCTGCCAAGTTTCACATGCTTAACTGAAGGTGATGGGTCATTTCACTGAATCCTGCAAAACTGCTAAAATTCTATGCTCAGATTAAAGTTAATGATGTGTAGGGGGCTTGGGGGCTTCTTTTGGTGGTTTTTGTTTTTTGGGGATTGTTTTGTTTTTGAAGTAGAACAGCTTCTACTGCATGAAACTAAACATTGAACTGCCTGCAAAAACTGGGGCTCCCATGCTAGTTTCAGCAGATGTATTATTGCAAAATAGATATACTGGCTTTGGAAAAGCATCTTGCTTTACAATAGAACAAATAGTTTGTTTCTGGGTGACTCTCCATGTTTTGTGAAATCTGGTGTGGCACATGATATTTTCATATCCATTTGAAGGTATTATAAGCAATCTACTTTTTGTTAGACCAGATACTAATGTTTGTGTTATTAGCTGGCATAGTCACCACTGTATGTGGGAAAACTAACCAGCCTTTAGGGGGAAAACAAAAACAAAAACAACGAATCCAAAACATTTTATAACTTGTGTATATATATGTGTTAAGAATTAACTCTTGTTATAGTTCTGCAGTACTTAAAGGGCTAGCTGGTAGTCACCTTAGACTGTGCGTTTTTAATATAACTGAACAATGGGAAAGCTGCTTATATAAGCCAGAATTTTACTTCTGTCTTGGCATTTAAGCTCTTTTTTGTTTTTTTTTGGCTGGTGCTCATGTTTCACAGATCGGGGAGGGGGATGGTGGGACACACAGGGAGAAAATTAAGCCGGTGAAGTCACCCTGTGAAACCTGCAACTGAGCTGATCTCAGAACTGGCAAACTGCTTATCCCTGGTTTGTTGATGTAATGTATAAAATTGCTTTTTTGCTTTTAACTGCCTTTACTTTCTGAGCTAGGGGCTGTCTTCATTAACAGCAAAAGTGTTACTTTGTTGTAGATGACAGATAAGCCTCATCACGGGAGAGTTACCTAGTAAGTATAGCCCAGGTGAACACTTCTGTTTCTCTCAGTCTTAATTTATTCCCAAATGTATTAGTTCAAGTAAAGAACTGAAAGAGTTATGAAGCTTTTTCCTTTTTAGTTTTAAACTGATGTGTCCCTCTTCTACAGCTATGGCATGGAGGGAGCGGGGTTTGAATATTCTTTTTTTTTTTTTTTTTTAAATGTAGTTTTATTCTGTACCTTCTTTCTGCTATGCATTTCTGGCTGTATACAGTTCTACACACAGTGCCTCTAAAACTGAATCTCAGGCACACTGTTGTTGAGATCTTACACACTACATACCCTTGGAGGATGTTTTCATTGCTAAAACACTTGAGAAGTCACTTATTTCCCACATTATTAAATGCTTGGACTGTGCGGGGGATGTAGTGGTTTGGGGTTGTTTTGTTTAGTCTTCAGCACCTTTATGCAAGTCTTAAGTAATGTGAAATTACTATGTGTTACTCTTCAACCTAAGACCTTAGAAATGGTGGTTTCCAATACAAAGGAAGCAAGAACATTGGGCAATGAATGGAATAGAAGGCTAAACTTTGCACATGATTCATCCTTCCTATAATTGTACACACTAAAGAGCTTGTTGAATATGGCATTAATATGCATGAAATAAAGTTTAATGGGCACTCACTGCCTTATGCAGCAGTTTGCTAATGCAGGTACCCCGATGTGACCAGCCCTGTGCTCAAGGGAAAGAGATGTTTTTCATTCTTAGACATGGAGGGTCAGTACTCTCTAAATACTTCATTCTACAACAGGGCTTAATTCACTAATATTTCACAAAGTATTTGGGCAAAAGTGGGAGCTACATGCCACTAGGAAATTAAACTCTTATATAGAATATGACTAATTCTAAACTACTAAATGCAAGTGTGTAGAAAAGACAAAGAAGGTTCCTAAGCTGCAAATCTCCCCGAGCACATCCATGTAGAAATTCACTAACTTCACAGATGGGGTTTGAAACAATAGCAGTAAATTATAAGTGGAGTAAAACCTTCATTTGTGCAATTGTGGCAGCTTGTTAAGATTTATGACTTTGTGGACCTGCTTCTTTAACAGTTTTGACAACCTGCCCATCCCCCAAAAGTCACTTTAAATAACAAAGGATTTATTTTCTTTGAATCCTATCATGAGACTGCTTTTAACCCTAAGATGTTGTAAGACCTGAGGTGATCTCAACATCCCAGCAGGCTAGCATACACTAATGTGTATACTAAAAAGATACTGAAAACTAAAGTTTTGATTTACAAAGCATAATATGACATGTTGTAAGGATATTAAAAAGAAAACAAACTAAAAAAAAAATGTTTATTTTTCCTTCTAAGAAAGCTAACATAAATACAGCGTTCTGACAAACCACCTCCACAAATCCTTTTCTAGACTCACATCTTAAAGGTCTTTCATTATTATGGTGGTGTTTTTTATTACCTTAGGCAAAACCAGATAAAAATACCTTAAGTTCAGAAATCTTTCACACAGATATGATAATATTTTCTTTTACTCAGAATAAGAGTCTTGAAGTTTTTTTGCCCTGGAATTGCAGCAGCATTGAATTCTGAAGATCACTGCAGCACTCCATGCTGGAGATCAAAGACAGATTTATAACTTGATCAATCCAGTGAAACCAATTTATGGAGTTTATTGCAGTGTAGGGCTTTGCATAAGCTAAGTACAACTGACACTTTTTTAACCATAGTGAAGGCAAATTAGCATGAAAAAAACAGAATTGGATTTTTCCATTAAAGGTTTAAAAACATCCAGAAGAAGGCCTATCTCCTAAGAGCACCTGTTACAGCAGCATCCACCTGTCCAGGAGAACATACTATTTCAGCTTTGGAAAAGTTAATTGATTACTAACATTAAAGGTCTGAAGCAGCCACACTCTCATCAATGGCTTGTATTCAGCAGGTTTTAAATAAAACAGACTAAAATTTAAAAGGACTAGTGCCTTTTTATTCCTTCTCTTATGCACAGACAAAATCTTAAGAGTCACTGCCCAGCTACCCTCTGGGAAAAAAAAATCAGATCTCAATGAGTAGCCCAAATCTGGTAATCAGAAACAGCATGGGTGTTGTTGAAAGTTTCCATCTTTTTAAAACTATCTTTATTTCATTATTGACTTGCAAATAGTTGGTTGTTTTTTTTTTTTTTTATAAAATTCTATCAGGTTTGCACAGATACTCTTCAGTGTGAACAGAATTATTCTTGGCAGCTAAAGAAAGTCCCTATTGTAGACTGTACTGGAAAACTTCTTTTTGAAATTCTAGATAACAATGCAGCCTTCCACATACAGGTTTTCTGATATGCACAAGTAGTTAATAATCCTCTTCCCTTCATCTTTTCACCCCTCCCCCCAAATTAATTCAAAACACTTACACAAGATTTTCAAATTATTTTGCCACATTTCTAGTGTCCAGCCTGTGTTCTTGAACATCCATTGTTATAGCAAATTTCCACATAGGTACAAGACAGTAGTTTACCCACTAGGCTGCTCCTGATGTACAAATCAGTATCTCACACAACTTTTTTTATAGGTCCGTCTACAAGTTCAAAATGTAGAGAAGCCTCTCTACCGTGGGACTTTCCATTGCTTTCAGTCCATCATAAAGCAAGAATCTGTAAGTTATGCATATTTTTTTATCTTTGTATATTTTCACTCAGAAGGGTGGGAAAGCTGTTAAAAACAAACAAACAAACAACAAAACCCCCACACTACAGATGTTGAAGATCAAGAGATAAAGCATACTCTGAACTTCACCTAGGGCAGATATTGTAATCAGAAGTTTGCCAGAAACTTTGTGAAGAATATTACTAAGTTGGTATTTTGAAGTTAATTTTTTAAATAAAGCAATGAGTTCTTTAAATAACTAATTTTCTGAGAATGCAAGCAATCGGAGCAATGAGTGAAGAGATTGGTGAGGTGTTTTCACTGCTGAAGCTTTAAGACCTCAGCTGAAAGGGTGGCTTCAGGCTTTAAGATACATTAAAAGAAAAAGTATAAAATATCCCAGAAAACTTTTCTCTGGATGTACTAAGATTATTTTATGGATATGTTCAACTATATATTTGTACTGCTGAGTTGTTTAGTGGTTTGTGTCCTAGGCAGAGAGGAGATTTTTATTATGAAGCAAGGTGGTTCTGATCTTTCGGGTGCCCCTAGAAAGTTAGGGCACAAGGTTATCAACACCACTGTTAAAAAGCATTTTTCTTTCCTTTTTCCATCAGGCTTTTGGACTCTATAAAGGTATTGGGTCACCAATGATGGGACTTACATTCATTAACGCGCTTGTGTTCGGTGTACAAGGAAACACACTTCGTGCTCTTGGAAAAGACACTCCTTTAAACCAGTTCCTTGCAGGGTCAGCAGCAGGGGCTATCCAGTGCATCATCTGCTGCCCCATGGAGTTGGCAAAGACAAGAATGCAGCTTCAAGGAACAGGAGAATACAAACAGAAAACGAAGAACTACAAAAATTCTCTGGACTGTTTGATCAAAATCTATCAGAAGGAAGGGCTGAGGGGTATCAACAGGGGCATGGTCTCTACATTCATAAGAGAAACTCCAAGCTTTGGCTTTTACTTCCTGACCTATGACTGCATGACTAGGTATTTAGGCTGTGAAGCTGAAGACAGTTATGTTATTCCCAAACTGCTGTTTTCTGGAGGAATGTCGGGAATTGTGTCCTGGCTCTCAACCTATCCCATGGATGTGATCAAATCCCGACTCCAGGCCGACGGGGTCGGAGGCGTTACACAATACAAGGGCATTATGGACTGTGTCAGAAAGAGTTACCATGAAGAAGGCTGGAGGGTGTTCACAAGAGGTCTCACTTCCACACTGCTCCGTGCTTTTCCTGTCAATGCAGCTACCTTTGCTACTGTCACTGTGTTCCTAATGTACATGAGGTCAGAAGACAACATTCCTGAATGTGAACCAGATCCAGTAATCCACCAGCCTTCCACTTTGCAGACTTAATCTGTTTGTTCTCCTCGTTCAAACCCGGCTGGTTGGGTTTTGTTGAACGTGACGCTTGACCTGCACAAGTAGTGTAGATGTATGCTATCGGTATAAAGAATTCCTAAATGTCAAATTAGGATTTCATCTCACTACTTGTATAAGCAGTATCTTGCCTTATTCAGGACTCCATATCTAGTACTACTCCAGTAAGAAGGGGACCTGCCTTTAGAAAGTTACTGTTGTGGCTCCAGAAGAGGATCTGGAGAACGCCGTAGTACCAGAAATTATGTTTTCTTCCACTCATGTTCTGAATGAATGAGTTGAATGTAGAAATGTTTTCATGAAAGAAATACTCATTTTGTATGTGACAGGAGTTAAGTATACTTAGGGTGAAGTAGGGGGAATAAATTAAATGTTGGAGGCATTTTGCAGGTAACCCCGAACTGTTTAAGACACAGACTAGCATTCAGCTAGTCATGTGTTTTACTTATCCTCTGCTTTTATACGTCAGTGGTTTTAGTAGCAACTTTGTTCATACTAATTTGCAAAAAAAAAAAAATATAAAAAGAGAAAATATTTGTATTTAAGCTACTCCCTTACCTTTCAGCTTTGAATAAATATCTTAAGCACAAAGTTAGCATCTGCACTCAAATGCACTTGTTCCTTTAAATCTCAAGGCTTGTAAGGATTTAGGGAAACTCAAATCTAATAAGATTGATGTTGTTTGCCTTCACCTCTGTTTCTCCTTTGGTGGGTGCATGGACTGGATTAAGTTAGCTCAGCCCGAACAGACTTTGTTCTCCAAAGTTAATGCAACTTTGCACCACTTCTCCCAACATGCCCCATAGCAGCCAGTGATGTACAGATTTCAAAGTCCTGCCTGTGGTATTGCACAAAATGTTTGTGGGTGCAACGTTGGCTTAGCAGCTCCAAGTACCATAGAAATACATATTTAGAACTAGAGGTTTCATATCTTTTCAGAAAATAGAGGTGTAAGTGTCTGAAATGGTTGCTGTTCAATACACTTGCATTATGAATTGAAACAATACTGATTTTTATGTATTTAGTTACAGTGCTACTGGAAAGAGGACTGGAAAGGGTTTTGGAGAATTTTCTTGTTACATTAATCTGCTGTGATTTTTTTTTCCTTTTTTTAGCAGTCTGTTCAAGAAGGATTGTATTAGTCAAAGAGCTATAAACAGTTATTTAGATTTGAAAAAAAACCCTACACATATTTGGCACAAATAGCCAGAAGGAAGGAGTTTATGTGTGTGAACAATGTTTAAAAACATATCAAAGTAGTTCAGTAAGTGCAACTTGTTACACTTTTGGTTGGGACAAGTGCAATATGTGTTTAATTTATATGAATTTTCTAAAGAAACCTTATTTCATAGCATTTTGCACTGTAACAAAATATGCTGGAGAAACCTGTCAAACTGGTATGTCTCTTTATACCTTGGAGGTATGGTGGATGTTCTAGTGCCTACTTGCACTGAGATTCAAATTGAATGTTAAATCTATCTACTAAGCTGCATATGCACAACAACTCACAGCAAAGACCATTTACACCTTTGTACAGTAGACTGTAATTATTGTATATAAAATTGAGGGAATAAATTTTTTTAAAATTTTTACTTTGGTTCTCTAAAGTTTTTATGTTTTACTCAGATGCTTCTTTGTGTCAAATAGAGCTTGAAAGAGGGTGGGGTTTCTGCCTTTTCCCAGTAGAAACTTGTTCCCATCTGCCTTCCATTCACCATCAGGAAGGGCAGGGTCTTGCTCTGGCTTAGAGTCGATCAGTTCACTGGAGCAAAGAAAGGAAGCTGCCTGGCCTCACTTCTTCAAACTGACCTTTTTGCTGCTAAGAGAGCAATCCTGCTCTTAAAGCCAAAGAGCTGGTGCCATGCTTAAACCCTTCATATTCTGCATTTCTTTGTTTTAAGCAGTGCTGATCAGCATCAAGGCTACACAACTGTTCAAGTCAAATCCTGGGTCTCTGCGGGATCACATCAGAATCAAGGACTGTTCCTACCTGACTCAGAAGAATATACTTAGATCTGTGATGCACAGTTTAGCAAAAAGTTTTGTAGGTTGTAGCTTTTTTGTTTTAGACAGTGCAACTAGGCCAGAAAGACTATCAGTATTTCAAATAAAAAGCCACAAAGGAAAAGCAGGATGATGTATAATATGACCTATGAAAAGGACCTCACCTTGCTGATCATAGAATGATTTGGGTTGGGACCTTAAAGATCTAGTTCCAACCTCTCTGTCAGAAGCAAGGACACCTTCCCCTAGACCAGATTGGTCAAAGCACCATTCGATTTGTACTTCCAGGGATAGGGCAGCCACAACTTCTCTGGGCAACCTGTGCCAGTGCCTCACCACCTTCAGTCAAGAATTTCTTCCTAATATTTAATCTGAACCTACTATTTTTTTTCAGTTTTAAACTGTTATCCCTCATCACTCCATGCCCTTGCAAGAAGTCCCTCTCCAAATTTACAGTAGGCCCCTTTTAGGTAGTGGAAGGTCCTGTAAGATCTTCCCAGAGTCTTCTCTGCTCCAGGATGAACAGCTCCAACTCTCTCAGCCTGTCTTCATAGGAGAGGTGCTCCAACCCCCTTGAGCATCTTTGTTGCCTTCTCTGGACTCACTCCAGCCTCACTGTTGAGAGGTTACTTCAGGTCCTACTTCCGCTAATTCATCTTCTTGTGACAGACACAAATCCTGTCAAGCATCAGTTTGCCAGATCAGAGAAGGAAAGGTCAACACCTCTGCAACTGACCGTGACCAGGGTCCGTTCTAGTCAAGTACTTTTTGTTCTCTCAGCAGGAACAACACTGAACTATGGAACAGACACAAATACTTGGAATAAGCAAACACTGTCTCCCTAAAAGACTAATGTCATTAAAAGAGAAAAGGGCTATACCATGTTTTACTTGAAGTGTTTACTAAAGCATTCTCTTTAGAAATTCATCCATCTGGAACTTAAGACATAATCAATAGCAGACACTGGATGTTACTCAACAAGCATGAGAGGAGGGTAAAGCCAGCTTTCAGCCTAGTCTGATGTCACTTGCTTGGAATTTGTGCAGCTCCTAACTCTTAAATCAAACTAGACAATAGTCTCAGCGTTTTTAAACATGATACAGTTCCTTCCTGGTAGATTTTTGAGATGTCAGACAATTCAGACAGAACTATGTTCTGCCTCCCCAGATACTTCTCCCCACAGCATCATCAAGCATCATGATCCTGGGCAGTAGATGCTCTATTAATTCCCCAGCAATTGAAGGGATTAAGAAGGTAAGACTCACTGAAAGGAAAACTCACTGTCAAGAGTGAGTTTGACTTACTCTTTCTTAAACTGGATAGGTCATGACACTGTTACAAGTTACAGCCACAAACATGCCCATTTAGGATAAGAGGGGAAAAAAGCACCCAGGCATACTACTTCTTACAGAAGTTACTGTCACAGAACTACCAGTGTGAAATTCAGTTCATCATGCCTGCATTTGTAACACAACCATATTTTTTTTTTGTTCCCCTCTTCATCTTTTCCTGCATATATGCAGTGATAGAACAAGGGGTAATGGCTTTGAGCTGAAAGAGAGTCGGTTTAGACAGGGTATTAGGAAGAAATTCTATACTATAAGGGTGGTGAGGCTCTGGGCCAGGTAGCATATTGGGAAAGTGGCTGAGACACAAATGTAAAAAATTGACCTTGCAAAGAAGAAATGTGCTTGTTCTTTGAAATGAAATATATTTATTATTATGCTGGAAATTAGGTATTAACAACTGCTGTTAGCCAGACTTTTAATCTGCGGATAGCTAAAGAACAATTTAAAGCCCAAAAGTGTGCCAAACACCATCAGATTTAGCAGAATGTGCAATTAAACCAGAAAAACAGGCAGAGAAAATAGAAGCTTATCCAAGGCAACATGCCCTACACACCACCACAGCCATGGAGACAGACGAAGGATCTGAGGGACTGTATGACTCTGAGAGGCACAAAAAAAAAAAAGCAGGGAAGCAGAGAACTTGCTGGGCCAAACCTAGTGGAGACAGGCTTTGAAATCAAGACTAAGCAAAATTGTTCCTTTCAATGTTCAGGAATTTATGCATATCCATGGGCAGTGGGGGAGCAAAGCAGAGGAAAATAAGCCATTTTTATCTTTCCAGTGCAACTACTTTGCAATTTTTACATTAGTGTTGTTCTCACTAATTGCAAAAATGGTTATCACTAACAGAGAAAAAAAGATGACATAATAATACATATGATATACAGTAAATTTTTTTCTACTTATAGTTTATTACCAGTTTTAATTGATTTGACCCAGAAAGTGATTTAAAGCTATACTGGTTCATCAGTAAATAAACTGAGAGCAAGACAAGGTCTGCAGTGTAAACTAATACCCTATAGATTGGTATAAATTGAAGAAAGGCAAGTTCTGATGTTCACAAAATGTCCTTCTGGTCTATAAAACCTAACAATTAACACTGTCAAATTGCTTCTTCGTATCGTTCACACTTCATTATGACTGCTTTTTCTCACTGAAAGAAACACTCTGTATTTTTTACACACAGTAAAATAGACTTGTACCATTTTAGCCATAATCGTGTCAATCAATAAAACCTCATGGTCTGCACCACTTGCTACTTATATCAAAATAGAAAGAAGTGCTCTAGAGTAATTTGACTTGGTCAAGTTAATGTTGGCATGAAATGAGTATTGCTTTTCTAGGACCTGATCTAGTTCTCTTAAGTAGAGATTTATCATAGATCAGGAATACTTAAGTGTTACAATCAACCAGGCCATAAATGTTATTCCATGTGCACTGAGGTACTTTCACTTAAGGAAAAATCTCTAACAGGCATTTTCACTTAAGGAAGAATCTGTAATAGGCACTTTTCAAATAGCCCAGTAATAAAGTTGAAGCTTTTTAACTGCAATTAAAGGAGGTAAAAGTAAATTCTACCCTTAATTTAATCTAGGCAGATACCTGCTTCCCTGCCAGTTCAGACCGAGCATTTTTATTTCTCACTCTAGAAATATCTAGATGAAATCCCTTATCCCCAACCTATGCAAGAAAAAAGAATAAAAAACAACCAAACCAACCAACCACACGAGGAAAACCTGAAGACCTGACATTATTCCTTACGATCTGTTTCCAAACCATGAACATTTGTATGCCCTTCGAAGCTATGGGAGTCATTAGATTCATATAAATCAATTGGAGGTTCAAGTCAGAGCACCAGTTAAAACTGAAAACCGAAGGATTCTGTACCAAAAGGTCAAATCTTCTGTTTTGCTGAGAAAATATAAATGGGTTAAAAAAATAAGTCAAAAGTTAAGTTGCACGATGCCCCATGTGTGAGACAGTCAAAACCTTTGCAAGCCAAAATGGCAGCTGGCAACACTAGTGAGGTCCTTGGCAAGCATTTTGCACCTGTGAAGGACACCTGAATTTATGAGCCCTTAAATCAAAACATTAACCAACAAGGTAGTTTTCCACAGATTTATCTTGCAACCAATTGCTGGCATGAACTGTTCTACAGTTCATGGAATTGCCTTTCAGCAACAGACTGAAGCAAAGGCCCCAACTGCATCAGGGGAGCTTGGACTTTCCAGGAAGCCACTATTGGAAAGAAGCAGTGCTGTTGTACGGGTCTATCAGCAAACCAAAATAGCCACTCACAGCTGAAAGCACATTCATTAACACCATGTGTCATTAGATTTCCACATTTCTCTCAAAAGATATTTAGTATTAATATTTGGTTTATGCATGCATACATGACTCATGTCACTCTCAGCAGTTTTTATTTAGTCTTTATTTCCATTGCCTTGCTGGTACTTCTGATGAATGCACAAGTACACCCGGGACTGTCAGAAATCAGCTCAGAGTTGTACTTCTTATTATTCTGCAGTGGTGTGTGGGAAATCTGCTCTGTGACACTGGCACGCTCCAAGTCTGTCAGGGTCCACTGAACACCCCAGGACACCCTACACACACTTGACCTCACAGGGGCACGACAACACTGCTATTCTGTCTGCTGGTCATGCTGTGCAAACAGGTAATTCACTGCCATCTCCTGGCAAACTGCGACTCGGGAGTTTCTGAAGAGAAAGCACTGACAGAGATGTCACCCAGTATCAGACTGATTAGAGAGAAATCACACCGAAACCTGCAGCAACTCTTTAATAAATGGTGGCAAGACAAGCACACAGAAGTTCTGCAAGGGACACCACTGCCTCTCAGTCCCTTCCTCTCCCTCCCTAAACCAACACTTGACAGAACTTCAGGCTTGCTCCTGCAGAGCTTCCAGCATTCACATGAACCGGGTGAGAACAGCAGCTCACAAGAGGGTTATCACATCCACACCTTAACATTCAATAGAAGGCGTGGTACCCAACCAGCACTCAAGAGTTTTCTGTTAAAAAAAAATAACAGAACATTTGGAAAACCCTGAAATGGAAGTTGTCTAAAACCCAGTTGCTCCTATAAGTGATCTTATCCATTTACCTAGAGCAAAACTGTTTCTCTGCTACTTCGGGGGAAGCCAGGACCTGAAAAGTTCACATTAACTTTACAGAGAATCTGATGTGCTTGCTGCAGAAGAAAATTCTATACTCTCCAGA